CAGAAACAAACAGCCTACAACTTTCATGCTGGGCTAATTAAACTGATTCTAAAAGCGAAGTTCACAATATATCATGATGCTTCATTGAAAAGTCATGAACGTGAGCATAGCGGCCGTTTTTTCAATGTTCCTAAAAGTGCGGTTACACCGATTGGAAAGCTTCGCAATCTTGTACATAGTTGAGTATTGAACTCAGCGTCCACAAAAAACCCTATTACATAAGTACTCACATTTTTTTTTAAATTTTCGAAACGACAGTTTTTTCCACAGTGGCACCATATATTTGAATTTTCTACCGTAACCCCACAGTAACGAAGATCAATCGGTGGTTCGCTTTACACTATTCCAAATTGAAGGCAGCCCTACAAAATGGTACTTAAAGCTTCTTGGAAGTCTTTGTCATAAGAGGGTTATTAACAGTCAAACAGTAGGCACATTTTTTTAGGACACCTTGTAGATTCTCAAGCCTTTCTCTGCAACGTTTGCACGAAACCGCCAACCTATTTATAGAAATCTCGCTTTATTGAAGGACAGGCGCAGATCTCACGCATCTTGTTTTCGAAATTGGCCTATTGAGAAACATCTGTGTCGTCAGAGCCTCTCAAGCAGTCATCCTCTTTTTGTGTAGAATGCTGCGGCTTTGTAGTGCATATGGACTTCATTCACCTTATCGTGTATTAGACATGGACCTCCCAGAAGTTCCGAGCTAATTTTATAAAATTTTTGTAATACAGATAAATTTTCGTAACACAGATGAAGGAGAAATGATGTGTTACTACAAGCGAAATTATTTTCATTGATATGTGATGCCGTCATTTTCTTTTTTGCAAAAGGGAAAATTGTTTGTTTATAGTTGTTTTCATTTCAATTGTGTTTTCGTTCACAAGGTTAATTTTATTTGATAATTCTATGTCTGTTATAGAGAATTGCTGGTGACGGAGGACAACAGGTGTCTCTAAAAAGGGGTTTACTGTTTGATGGTTAGTAAATCTTTTCTCAATGAGTCTTTCTAGAAGCTTTAGGTACCTTTATAGAGCTGGCTCTGGTTTAGATTTACGGTATAGAGCGAATTGCCGTTCTCTCTTCATTACTGTAGGATTATTAGGACTACGGTAAGAACTTCGAAGAGGGTTTTGCGTCACTGAGAGTCATATTTTAACTCTGAGAAATGACTAAAGAAGCTAAAAACTCACTAGGTTATTTAGGGTTGATTCTAACTATGAAACTCGCACTTTACAGTAATGCTTTTTTAAAATTTATGCCAGATATAACTTAAGGACGAATTTCTGAGATTCGTCGAAAATTTGAAGGAGCTCTATGAAAGAGCAAAAGTTTGTGTGCTGAAACCAGCAGGCATGAAAAGCTTGTTACACAAATTTTCAGGTTTATTTCCAAAAATTTTTCAAATGGCATATCTCACATGGCGCCATATGCTGCGAAATCCTACGTAATATTACAGTAATGAAGGAAGATCGGTAATTCGCTTCATGCTGTAAATCTAGTGAAGCCAGCTCTACAAAATGCACCTAATTCTTAGCGAAAGAATTTATGACAAGAGAGAGGGACACCTCGTATATGTATTGAGTTGGTCCATAGGTTTTGCACCAAATGCTAAAAGTAGCCTAAATATTAAAACAAAGCTACAAATTACACTTACAATTACACTTTATATTTTTTGAAACCGGCATTAAATGCTTTATTTAAAAGCAAAATCGAAATGTCGAGTTAAGTTGGAGATTTCAAGTATTAGCAGAAACATACAATCACTATAATATTTTCACAGTTAAAAAAGGTAAGAAGCAAGACCCTAACCATAAAAATTAAATTTTCCAGACTTTAAAGTTTTTTGAGACCAAAAATCAAAAAAAAAATCACACTTCAATTTCTCCCATGGTTGGTTTGCATCACCGTGATATAGAATAATCTATCATTGTTTTAGGCATTTTTAGAAATGGCTTAATGTTTTTTTTCAAGCTATATTGAATTGAACAAACTCGCCAAAAGGACAAACAGTTACAAATTTTCAAAACTTTTGGTGTAGGTTTTATGAATCAACCTAATAAAATCCATTTTCTTAAAGTATTTGTGAGAAGATATAGATGTACCACGTAAATCGAAATTATGATTATGATCTTGGGCTGTGGTTGCCCTGAATCGCACTTGGACTGAATATAGTTGACTGCACGGAATCGCTTAGAGTGAACGCCCGCGAGCGCGTCTCTTGCGGGCTAACATTGACATTAGCGCGCATGAGTCATCATAGCGCCCGTACTCGGCAGCCGCGTTGCGGGCACGCTCGCATGCGTTCAGACTACAGCGATATGGGCGATTTCGTGCAGTCGACTTCACCATTTTTGAATTATCCTTTTACACTAGCAAAACCTTACATTTTCAAAGCTATGGGCTCGGAACTACCTTCTCAAAGTCCAATACAATTAATTACAAGCGTAAAGCACTGATCAACGATGCACAACATCCCTCATTGAAAGTGAAATCATTGAAGAACGATGTTATCTACTAGTTTCCGCTGTATCTCTGTGACTGGTTAAAGAAAAAGATGTTATGAGCGCCAGCACCACTTCTTCACTAATCTATCTTCTTTTCAAAGTCTAACGACTTCGCTTCGAATCGCCCCACATCTCCACCGCCCACTTGAAATCTGGCTTTGAGAACAGCAGCAGTGATGCAGAAGAATAGCGAATACTCCCTGTGCGCAACGCTAACTGATCGTACAAGCTTGTTTCGCTTCGACGTCCATTTCGGTTTACCTTCTGGTTACTTTACTAGGGTCAACGTTTCTATGGGTAAATGGGCAATGGCATCCATTTCTGTAGTTATTCTGTACCACGGTCGGCTAAAAATAGCATTTTTTCTGAGCGACTATCCATGGAAATTTTCTTTTTGTTTTCTCTTCATGAATTTTTTGAGTGGAAGTGGTTCAAAGCTCCTATCATATCAGCTACTTAAAATATTCGGTTATCAAAGGATAGTTAGCCCAGATGTGAAAAAAATTTGAATTATTCGACTTTCCGGGATTCGTTTTCATGCCAGAATGGGTGTAGAGATAAGTAACTTGGTTTCGATGCCAAGTTTTTTCTATTAGCGAATAACAATATATTCTGCTACTCTTAAATTCCGTGACTGAAAATTTTTTTTTCCATTCGCAAAATGGGAAAAATATGGTTTCTCACTTTCTTGCTTACAGGGAAGTAGATTCTGTTCAAACAGCACATTCCAGTATTTGTAGGAGAGCAACTGGAATCATTCGAGCTAACCTGATATCTGATTTGATAGTGAGCATACACGCCATGTGCGAAAAACGCAAAACTGCATATTTTCTCTAAGTTTCTGATCGGTTTTAATTGCCTGAAATCAGAGTCTTCAAGAAAGTTGATTCCTGTTATTTTTCAATTTCCGATTATCTTGCGAAAAATTATCAGCTTCGTGCTTCAGCCTTCTCAAAACTTCTAGGTCGGGTTTAGGACAAGCTTTACCTGCGAGGCACAAACCTCCGTCTTATAACATAATTCTGAAAAAATGGATGCAGTTGCCTTTACGAAAATGATGGTTTTTCGGTAAAAAATTACAATGTCATCACCTCTCAGGTCTCTTTCTCACATGATGTTGTCTGCATCGGACAATTCCCATACAGGGACATACTCGCGCGCTCGTAAAACCTCGTAACGTATCAGTGTTCGTCGTTAATTCCGGATATGTCATCACTCGGATGATGGACAGGTTCCCTAAATGCTGCCAAGCTTACGATCGTTCTTATAAGGAGATTAGACGTTCCGAAGAGAAGATGAGATCGTTGAAGCATCCACGTGTTTCGAAAGGATAACGACTACATGAACAGGAGAGGAGGGGGGGGGGATGGGCGCATGTGCACCCTAGAGATCGTAGTGCATCATCTTATTATTAGGAGGACAAAGCAATTTAGGGGGGCTGAAGCTTGGTACGAGGAACCTGTCGATAATGGCCGGCGGCAACGACTACAAACCGGTTGCTGCGCGCGATTTTCACCAACTTTGGAAAAGAATAGCTGGTCAGCTGGCTAGCCAATTTCTTTTTTGGGACGGCTTCTGATTTTCCCCTAAAGGAATATCCTTCAAAAGTCGTAGCATAGCGTTAATAGAATTCTCTAACATGTTCTGCAAACAAAGGGTCATGCTCATGTCTTTTTTGTAAGATTTATAACTGTATTCATTTTTGGAACTTTAAATCTAAACAAATGTGAGAAATAACACAACTCATTTTCCGGACTCGCTTTACGTACTGGCAAGGGAAGAAACGAAAGGACGCCAGAATGAAATTGACTTTTTTATGACATTGTTTAATTTTCTGATACATTTCCGTAACATAGTGCAACTTCCGTATCTATATGTCAGTGGCGGACCGAGAGGGGGGGGGGAGGGGGAAGGCGCCCCGTCCCTGAGAATGGACCGCGAAATTCTGAAAATTGTCCGCATAAGTTACAAAAATGCGTAGACTTGTTTGGACTAGTGAAAATTTAAATTGATTTTCAATAATTTTTAGAAGCTCAAATTAGCCTTGTAAAAAAATCTCTGCGGGGCTTGACTTCCGCAAAAATTTTGGGAAGCATCCAAAGAATTCGGATTGCGTAGCTAACGCCCGCGCCTTTATTCTGAAAATAAGTTATAGTCGCTTTCCCTTCCTCATCTATCATTGCTATATATTCGTATATTCGTAGATAATCCGTCCCACTCACCTAATAGAATACTCCTTTCTTGAAATCACTATTTCTGCAAACGAAATTTTGAAAATAATGATAGGATAAGGTTTCTCCTCGTGCACGCTTGCATCCTTCGCAGCCACAGTTTCTGTCGCTGATAATTACAATTTTCGCATGAATTACGTTCCTTTTTTTCGCGCAAATCACTCTTTATATTTTTTATCCTTCCGTCAACTAGGGGCAACCTTCATTTGAGAGGCGAATCGCTATCATTTTACCTCCAACTATCCATCTCTAAGCTAGCATTTCAAATCATTCGTCCATCTCCTCGTTCCACCACGGCCTCCTTGTGCCTCATATCGTGTCCGCTTTCCGCTCGTCCTCCTTTCTCGGTAACTTGCTTTCCATTCATCATCGTTTCTAGGCGGATGTTTATGGCTGTCATAACTATAGATAGAATCAAAATCGTTTACGATCGTCAGCTTTCACGAAAAACGCTTACGTCGTTATGCTCTTACGTCGCTGCGCAGCGCATTCGGCGTAAGAGGACGCTTCGGATACGCAATCTTGACGCCTAGATCTCTCTTCCAGCCCCAATTGATTCGTGCTATGTTCGGAACTTGAATTATTTTCAACGTTTATGATATCATCGCATTTCTTCCGTGCTTTTTTATTCAATTCCTCATATGTTGTTTCTTAAGTTTTGTAAAAGTTTTGCTCTTTAAAAAACTATTGAGATGGTTAATAAATAACTCCGGTCTTCGCCGCTCTTACAGATGCTGCAAAAATTTTTTGTCTAATTTTTGACTTCGCTTCAAAATAAGCACTTCAATTAGGATTGTCGCTTCAAAATGAGCACTTCAAAAGAACATTATTATTTTTTAGCCGACCTAACATTTTGTATAAGATTCTCAAGCACAAGCATGGTGAGATTACTACTTGGATAACGCTTGCATTCTTCTTAAATCATCATTTCTGTCACTTAGGATTATAATTCACATGAATTACGTTTCACTTCAGCAAATTGCCCGGTTCTGGATTTTAAGCGGGTTTTTGTGATGATTTTACGCAAATTTCGTGCGCTAGCTTTAGCTAACTCAAATTAGCCTCTTGCAGCACAGGCGAACTTAAGGGAATAAATCCTGGCAAGAAATGCTGCAATGTTCTTTACGGAGGCATGGAGATAGTAAGATAATTGAGATCGAATTGTTGTTTATTGCTTTACAACAAGTTACGATGCAGTTACGATACTTTAGGCTTGTTCGAGATCTTCCAGAACTGTAGAAGTGATCTACGCCTGTTCCCGTATTCTGTTGTTACTGTGAAGCTCCTTTCCAATCAATGCTTTCAAGCGTGTTTTCCTTTTCGAAAAAAAGCAGTTTTCTTTTCTTCAGTTGGCATAGGTCTTCATAATTTCATTGTTTATGCAGTCAATCCGCTCATGGGTTTGCCCTAACCAGGGAAGCTTGTTCAGTTGAAGTGGCCTTTCCAAGTGAGATGCATATCATATAATAGTGCATAAAACTCTAATTCCAAATCTTCCTTCCCTTACTGCAGAACGTTTATGGACGAGGAGTTATGACCGTTTTTGGAGTCAAATATTGAATGCGCATTTTGGATAAAATGGGTTTCCAAAATCTTACTAGCCCTCTAATAATGCAACAAGCGTGGTATTTTTATTTTAAAGTTTTTTCTGATAAAGAACTCTGGTGCTTATCATTGCTCCACTGAAGGGCTAGAAAAAGTATTACGGCTATTTTCGTGCTACTTGCACATTTAATTTTTTGCTTCAATAAGCGCTCATGACTCCTCGTCCATAAACGTTATGCAGATAAGGAAGTCAAACATGGAATCAGCATTTTATGCCTTACAGTATGGTTATATATCTCATCTAAAAACACCACTTCGACCAAACATGCATTTCTCGTAAGATGGTTAGCATCGAATCTCAGCAGCATTGGTGTGAAGTTCGCTTATGAGAAGGAAAGTAAGGATGCTTTGAATATATAAAGGCACTTCGAAAAAAAAAAGGCTTGACCTCATGAGTAAGAAATCAATGGTAACAAATGCGGGAAGTTTTTTCTCCAAGTTTGCATCTAAACGAAATGGTTTTGATGGAGTAGATTACTGTCTTTCTTCGGCAGTCTGCCTTACTCGACTATCTCTTCAGCCAGTTTTGGCCCTTCTTCAGTATATTATTTTAAGTTTTAAGATAAGTATGCAGTGCCGGTAACGAATGGCGTAGTTTTATGGGGCGCCGCTATGACTAGGTTGGACAAGGTTCGATCCTACCCCTGGACCAAGTAAGCCCTCTGTCCTCGGGGATGGTAAATTGGTATACCAGAGAAATTTGGGAGGATAAAAGCACCGACTCCGTAATCGGGGCCCCCGCAGTCCACTGTAGGTCGGCACGGTCAAGCGGCCTCTTCGACTATGAAGTAAAGTGCATTTTGCATCCTCGCATACGTCAATCGAAGATGCCGAATCATTTTTTCCTTGATTATCCTATGATCATACAGAAGCTGACGTTACACTCCTTATTTGTTACTGTCTTATCCATCCTTCGCTTTTTCTGGCATTCTTCAAATTGCTACTTTCGATTTTCTGGATCCACATGATTGGAACCACCCAGAATCATGATCTGCAGTCATCTTTACCTAACTCATTCAGCTGCTTCAGTCTCACCACGGTTGAACGTTCGACAACGAGCGTTCGTCACACCGATATCCACCAGCAGCGTAAACATCACCACTTTAGCCGCTTGTCCGAATCTTGTTCCAGCCGTCACAGTAGCATCGAAAGCATCAGCAGCATTATTGAACGCAACCATCATATCGGGCCAATTAGACCATGGTTTGTAGATGTAATGAACTTCTTATTGGAACAGGTGTATCGCGTTGTGTGACCTTAAATTGTCAATTTTGCATCTTGCAGTTGATTCTGAAGCTCTTTATCATTCCATGGGTGTGGACCCACGCGCAAAATGTGCCTAGCAATCCAGCAGTCGCAGCCGTGCCTTCAGCTCCAAATGGACAAGTGCTTAGTCCAAACCGTGATATCCGTCGTTACAATTCAACCCGTTCCAGATTGACATCCCGTTCTACCAATTTCTGCAAAGACAGAACCAGATTAACAATGCGATTCTCCTCAACAATGCGATGTTGGCAAATTCTCTAACAGCAATGCCGTCGTCGGAGCATCATCAGATTCCGTGAATACAGCTCTGCCAATGTGTACGCTTGCTCTGTTCAAGGGAATTTAGTTCAGAATTCCCAGCGCTATTCATTTTCCGAGCGGTGGTCACCCTCTGCAAGCGAGTCATGCTGCTCTATTTCCAAACTTCCAACCGAAGTTCCCGACAGTTCCAACAGCAGGTGTGTTTTTTTATCAATTTCTGAAGGCTTTTTGCGTATATGCGGTTTTCCGTAATTTCGTTTTTGATGCACAAAGCTAAACGCGAAGTTCAATGTTTCCGTCACTGCGTCCAGAGTTGACCATTCTGCCGTGACAGTGTCGTGCCAGCACCGTCAATTGATTAATACGGGCCATGCCCACGTGTTTGATGGCACGGCGCTGGCACGCAGACAACTCTGGTCGTGGCTGTTTCCCAGACGCTTGCATATGGAAGCGAACATTTTTTGTTGTTTTCCCGCGCCTAATGATAGAACAGTCACTACGGACCCAGCCATACTTCGTTTAGTACCAGTTTCGCATATCATGCAGATTTCGCGACTAAACTTTCAGCGACTAATACAAAACAAAAAATGTTGAAAATGCGGTAAGCAACAAGAGTCGAGTGTCAGATAGATGCACATTCTGTATGATTTTTGGTTCTAGGATTACCACCATAATCTTGAAAAATGTATAAAGGGGGGACCTGCTTACAGTCAAGCTTTTATTTGAATAACGCGAAAAATCAAAGGAAATTTTGAAAACTGCGTTAACCATATTCAATGGATTGAATATTAGGTTGCAAAGAGAAAAATTTCGGTTCTCATGGAGCCACAACCAGGCGAAGCCAAAAATTGTTAAGGACATCATTGAATAGAAGTAGCAGGCTCTACACGATGGTCACCAGAGATACGATACATTATTCCAAATAAAGTTTGAAGCAAAATAATTATTTTATCACCCCAAAAACCGGACCACCTCCCCGGAAAAGTTTCCATGAGGCACTCAAAGATAGAATTTTTTTCCTCTGTCAAAACCCAAGAAAAAAGCGTTCCTTTCCCTTCTTTAGTAAATATATTTGACCAGGGCACATAAATGGTAGTACAGTCTCCTTTATCCTACTTTCACCGTTATATAATGTAATCCTATAAGTAAAGGGAACGCAGATTTTTTTTCAATTCATACAAATACAACAAGTGCATATGGTGATGCTTCATGTGTTTATCACGACCATAAGAGGTTCGTAGAATACTGAGCTGATTGTGAGAATTAGAAGCTCAATAATTCATTTTGGCTTCACATTTTACATACAGGGCTGAATCCGATCTTTGATGGTCATCTTGCTGCTTTGCTCTATTGAATGGTGCCCTCTCAAACATTTTTTGGGGATCGTCTCATTGCGGGTTCATGAATAAGGCATTTTTCCACCACAATCCATCAATTCTAAAACTGTTTCTGTTTATTTGTTCACTATTTAAAGTTATTCAAGTTCTGGCATAAATTTGAAGAACGTTGAAGACTATTTCCTTCCTATTAATTTAAACTGATAGTTCTTCTTTTGTGGAGCAGTTTAAATTTTTATTTTTGATGTTTGTTATGCTGGGTAAGAACTTCGTGATAGCAGTTTCTAATTTATACAGGAGCTGAATCTTAGCGCAAAATATGTCGTGTAGAAAATGATGTGAAGAAACAATTATTACATTGCATTCCAGGGATAAATCAACTGGGCCTTTATGATGTTCTAAGCCATCCGGTGAAACTTGACGGTGTGCCAAGTGTGCTTATTCCTACACACGTGGTATTGGTATTTTCTTCAAGTCAATTTGCCTTTTCTTCTATCACCTGAGAAAAAAGGCCCTGGTTCAGGTCAGCACTTCAACGACCGCTTCGCCCCCAGTAGGGACTACCACGGCTGGAGAAGAGCCCGAGAAAGCAGAGCTGCAGGAATCAGAGCCAATTCCTATCGGAGTGTCAGAGCCGGATGAACGGATGAAAAAGGTTGTTTTCAAGGAAGAGGTTGCAGGAGAAGGTAATTGGTTATTCAGGTGATTAATCTGTCTGCGACTCCTCTACCGAAACCGACAGAGATCACTGACAGCCCTGCACTGACTGAACTCATTGAAGAGATCGGAGAGGAGAACTTGCTCACCACTACAACCGAGCAGGTATAAAGTCGCTTTTATTTTGGGAAAACGCTGACTATTGCATGGAATTTCCAGCTTATTGAGGCAACCTCAGCGAAGGCTCCTAAGCCCGATGTCTACCGGCTTTTGAAGACTCTAAATTTGACTGATGAAGAAACAAATGATCTCGTTAGCCATGTTGAAAAGGTTTGCACAAAAAGGCTTTCTCTGCCGACGTCCTCTCCTCCCATCTTGCACACTAAAACTGGGTTTTAGTATGTAGAATCAAATTTAGGTAGTCCGTGAAGAACTAGTACGAAAACTGGCGGAGGCGCGTCTCTCAGAACACATGACGGGTACTTCACAGAGACCATCAAATGATGTTTCAACCATTGAAGCTACCACTATCCAATGTGAGTCCTGTTTCAAGCAGTGCAATAAGTTCAAATACAAATCTCATAATTTTTCAGCCTCTACAGCATTTGAGTCAGACGAGAGTCAGATTGAAGCACGAATCAAGGTACCAGACCAAATGGCCAAGACTGAAAAGGAGCTTTTGCTATACATTCCACGCAAGAAGCCAAAGCCTGAGATCAAACACCACCCACAAAGGCTGAGCGCTGATGTTAGTCAAAGTGCACTCGAAATAAGTGGCTAAGTTTCTGTGAAACGGTCAAAACAGGCTTTGCACGGTCGCCCTCTGGGTCTTACAAATCCTTTTACCCTATTCGAAAGGATCGAAATTGCTTATGCTCTACACCAGTTTTTCAGGATGGAGCCAGCTTTGTAGAAGCAGAAATCCTCACATCACAAATGCATCTGCCTGTCGAAGATGACGACACTTCAGAGGCAGCTGGTGAGTATTACAACTTCTCAAGCTGACCAGACCGAAAAATTTGATGTTTTCGCCATGTTGCCCGAAACGGAAGCCTATGAGTCGGATAAAGGCCAAGAAATAATTTCGACCACAATAGCAACAACAGCCGCTCCCACGACGACTACCCAGATTTCTACTTCACCTACTGCTCCACCAATTAACCATCAAAAGCTTCATATCAGGGATCTCAACAGCACCGTAAGTTCAGTGTTTCCAGATCATAATTTTTGTAATTGGGCAGAAGTTGAAAATATTACGTAAGTATTTGTCAATCGCAGAGTTTCTAGGTGGAAAAATCAAAACTTCTTTCTTCCTACGGTGGGATTGATGCGGATTTGTTAAATAATATCGCACTCGCCACTGGAGCTCCACTGGATTTGGAAGCGGAAGGAACACAATTGGTCGCGTACAGAGCGAGGAACACTGGAAGGTTCGGCGACTTTCTAGCATACTAATCTGTGCAACAAGAATTTTACAGAACGAGAAGTTAAAAAAAAGTGGCGGTGGGGGGGACGGACTGACTAAGCTGTGACAATCGCGAATGATGCTAATAGAGGGCTATATCTTGCTTTTTTAATGTATAGGAAGTTATTCAGAATGCTACACCAACTTGTTCATTGAAAAGATGACGTTGGCATGAGTAGGGATGGGTATGGGTATGAGAGGTCAAAGTTGGTGAGATTTCATTCTCATGTGGTACCTTACGGCGGGTCCGCTACTCTCATGTACTATCATAGAATAAAATTTTTGTGTTTTGCCTCATGTGTATACTTTGGTCGACTTTACTGCAATGTTATGTGCTGCAGTTATCTCTACATTCATTTGCTATGATGCTACGCGTTGACATAAGTACACTTCATCGCCAGAATTTCGGATGATTTTTTGAATTACCCCCACAATCTTCTCCTAATGGTTCCTTCTAGTATTAGTGCCTTTTAAGATGTCCGTCCTGCAGAAGAGCCTGTTGAGCGCTATTATTGTCTATCTAATCATTATCCAATCTGTCAATCAATATTTCTCTTCATGGTGTAAACGGGGCCCAGTAGGAGGGTGGCAAATAGACACCGGTGAAACGATCTCGCTGCCACTATATATTCTTCTACGTTTTCCTACTTGATCCCGCCAGCTGCGTAGGTTGTTCGATTGAAGCGCGCTTTCTTCCTCAAAAGAACCGGCATCTTGCTTTTCCGGAACCTAACAAGGAGGAGTGGAAGAGTTTTGAAAACAAAATGTTACTATACTCTAAACTTTAGGTGTAGAACAGATTTATGTGGCAAAGTTTTTTGAAAAAATTATGTAAGATGGAAGTTTTGCCTATCTCAGGAGGGCATTAAGTGGACAATTGCCCACCTGATTCGAAAAAAAACTCAAACACTCTCCTTCATACAAGTTTTTCATAATTTTTCACACTTTTTTCCTTAGTCCAACTGCGCATACACCCACCAATTTTGTGCCATATGTCATCTGTGCGTTGCAAACGATCCATTTTATCATTTTGTGGCAATCGGAAATTTTCAGAAAAAAGTTCGCCACAAATTCCAAATTTTTCCACAATACCCTGCACTACGCCCCTCCTAGCCCATGTCCGTCTATACTCCAAATTCTTAGTATATCGTTATGTGTGCGCGGTAAGCGAGACATTTGTTTACAACTCAATGAAAA